TTTCCACTTTGAGGCTCTTTGTTTTCCTCTGGACATCTGTCCTTTTGTACTTTTATCTCACTCTGCTAAACTCTTTTTAACTTATTATTCATCCCTAAGGCGTACACTGCTCGGTGCAGCTTCACTAAAATGCATTGCATTTACAAAAAGTATTTATGTCCGCGTGGACTGCGGAGCAACGACTATCTTCCTGACAACCACATATAACAGAGGTAAATTTATTTACCTAACAATACTTACAAAGAAGAGTACTTACAACAGCAACAAACATATGCTTATGCATACACCTCACATTCTGAATCAAAACTTTACTCTCCTCTTTTTAAATTTTATTTTGGTTTTCTTCTATAATTATTCCTTATATCATAGTATTCTTATTATTAATTTGTTACTGTAAATGACACAAAATCAGCCATGCTATACGTACATTGTGTTTAATTGACTAAAGTTTACCTGCTTACTGTTTTGAAAACGAATAATTCCACTCAACTTCAGATACTCCTGAATACATTACAGTCACGTGACATGCACAGTTAAACTTGTCACATACAAAATACAAATAACATTTATGTAACACTCACATTAAACTGTCAAACTAAATAATTTCTATATAATTTTAGATTATGAATTGTAAAATGTATATACAGATTATTAGCTGCAATACACATATACTAGTCATTGGTGCTCTATTGATATAGCTCTGTTTAACATTTCTAGTTTATCAAGATGTAATAGTTTGTTATTTATTTATGCTATTTTTTAATGATACACGCTTATTAGACTTATAGTACTCACGTCTACCTTATGTAACACCAACTAAAACGACTTTCAACTATTTTTATACTGATAACTCTCACTATCAAGACATGCTACTAAAGTAATCACACACACTTACACTACACTGACTACTTACATTACACACATTTTTATAAGAACTCAAAACAGTTCACAATTGTCCTTGACTCTGACAAACCAAAACAGTTCACAACTGTCATTGACTCTGACAAACCACTGCACTTAATAGACACTCATGTCAAAAAACTACTTACTACTATTTGCAAGTTGTACTGAACCCCACTAAGTGTCCTCTGGCCCCAGTGTCAATTCAGGAGTCTGTGGCAATCGTCCTGACTGGATACTCTGAGAATAGTCCTTTTGGGATAACACAATGGGATACCTTTAAAAAGATACCCTGGTGTAGACCCAGAGTGGAACTTCTTTTGGGACACCAAAAGAAGTTCCACTCTGGGTCTACACCAGGGTATCTTTTTAAAGGTATCCCATTGTGTTATCCCAAAAGGACTGTTCTTAGAGTATCTGATAAACTCTTTTTAACTTATTATTCATCCCTAAGGCGTACACTGCTCGGTGCAGCTTCACTAAAATGCATTGCATTTACAAAAAATAAAATTTTATAAACATATGAATAAATGTATGGTGTTCTTCAAGAAGTAGGGATTTTACATAGTAAAGTAATTTACATGATTGTTAATATTTCTTAGGGAGTTAGGATATTTCTTTTTCCTGTGCAGTCTTTAATCCACATGTTTATATCTATAAAAAAATCTTTATTTTTATTTTCGCTTTTTTGCGCCGTCCCTCAAATGGTGCCTATGGCACGCGCCATTCCTGCTATACCCTAGTTACGCCACTGTATATATATATATATATATATATATATATATATATATATATATATATATATATATATATATATATATATATATATATATATTTGTGCGTGTATTATTTATTTATTTTTTTATTATTTATTTATTTACACTTTTGCCGATAAAAAAAAATTTATTAACTTATAAAAAAAATAATTACATGACTGGGGCTAGAAGAAGACAAATTTAGTCTTATCATTAAGCCCCAAAAAATGCGTCATTACTAGACAAAATATAGTTTGACAATAAAATATAGTTTCAATGTATATATCTCTGATTTATATTATAAAAGAAAATTTAAATATATCGCATATCATTTAAAATTTATAGTTTTTCAAAGAATAAGATTTAACAATTGTTTTGTAAAATAAAAGAAACAAAATTTAATAAAATATTAAAATGACAAAAATAACATTTAAGACTTTATTTAACTTTTAAGAAAAATAAGAAGATATGATTTTATATAAAAACATTTTATTGGTAGAGCATTTTATAGTTTAACTTATTTAATTATATTTATAATAATTTTTTCATTGCCAATTAAGTAAAAGCAAATAAACAGTATAAAATAAAAGTAAGAGATTAATAAATAACGCAAAAATAAAAAATAAATTTCTCAAAAAGAAGATTATCATTTAAAATGATAAAAATATATGTACAATTGTTGATTAATTATGTATTAATAATCTAAAGTAATTAATTAATTAACTATTAGTTATTGATTTCTAATATAAAGAAGTTTTATTAGAAAAAATTTAATTCATTTTCAGTTAACAAAAGTAATTGCTTAAGTTTTGTTTTGAATTGGTTTAGAGAATAATTAGTTTTCATTTCATTATTTAATATTATGTTCCACAACTTTGGTCCTCGGTTTACATAGAGAATTTAGTAGCGGAATAATAAGTTTTGGATTAAATGTAGTTGTATTTTGAAAATCTTGTAGTGTATATTTGATTTATTTTTTCAAAAATTGAATAAAATAAGATTGGTAATATATTTTTATCAAGTTTGAACATTAAAATAAGAACTTGATAGAGGTTTAGTTTATATACATTTAGGATATTGAGTTCATTAAAAAGAGTTTGTGTGTGTGAAAAACGATTTACGTTTGAAATTATCCTTATAGCCTGTTTTTGTTTGCTTAGCAATTTTTTTATTTTCGTCGCGTTAGTGCTACACCAAGCAATGTTCGCATAACTTAAGTAGCAATGAAT